CGCTGGTCCCCTGGGACCCAACGCAGGGTTATTCTAACCGCTCTTCCCACCCTGCAGGGCTCTGTCGGGCAAGACTGGGCGGCCCTCACCTTTTGCTTGCCCTGCGCCCTCTGTCAGATGGCGCGGGAACTGAAGATCCGAGAATAAAGGAGCCTTCCCCCTCTGGCTGCCTGCTCTCCACCCCCTGGAAGGGCCTGCCCCTGCCGCCTCTAGAAATACACCCACAATAAAAACCTGAAAACCCACTCCGCCTACATCCTTTTTGTCCCAGGGCAGGAATCTGGGTGGAGAGGAGGTTTGATGAGAAGGTGGGGACACAGAGAAGCGGCCTAGGTGTGGAAGGAGAAATTCTGGAGCTAGGCCAGATTTCTGACCCTGACCTGCTCTGTAGGACAGACGGGTCTCTCCCCCCTGGAAGCCAGGCTGACCTCACCAACAAAAGTAAGGACTCTGGCTGAGCCCTTAGCCCCTACCAGAAACTCCGCCTGGATGCTCAACATAAGCAAACTCAGAAAAACCATCTTGGGCGGAGACGCACATTCAAGTTCCAAGAAGCTTAGCAGGCTGTTTTGTTCAAAACCATCTTGGGCAGTGACCGCACACTCTCCAGTTGGGAGAGGAAGCTTAGGAGGCTGTGTTGCTCATTCGCTAACCTCTAGGCCTCTGGCCTATGCACAATTCAGACAGGTTTGGGGTCTATCTCTCCAAAGCAGGGGACTGCCAGGATTAAGGCCCTCCAGAGCCCAGCTCAATCCACTCTCTTGCAAAAGCAGCTGGTAGATAAGAAAATGATCAGGCCTCAAAATTAGACAGACCTGGAATCCAGTCTGGACTCTTGCGATTTCCTGTGTTATCTTACTGACTTAATAAACCTTTCTGAGCCTGTTCCCGCCTCCTCCAAGAATCTCTAATATGTCATATGGGTTCAGTAACAACAGAATATGGTGCAGATGGAGAGGCCAAGCAGCAGGCTCAGGGAAGTGCCACTGCTGTTAGTAATATTATATCACTTACAGCATCAAAGCAGTGCGATTGTCCTCATATTAATGTTTTTAATGTCTTGCTGTCTTTGTCCTTTTCCCTCCGCTCCTCCCTCTCCTTCCTCCTCTTCGCTTCCCTCCCTCCCTCCCTCTCTCTGTGGATCCTAACAGCTACCACAAGTGGCATGTGCACTGGGACTATCTGAGTGGTTTCCCAGATTTGACAGATGCAGAACTTAACTCCTGAGCTCCCCGACCTGCTCCTCCCACTGTCCTCCCCATCGCAGGAAACAGCAAACCCATCCTCCGAGCTGGTCGGTCACCTTCTTACCCAGCCTCCAATCTGTCAACAAATTTTGTTGGTTCTACTCAAAATACCTCAAGAATCTCACTTCTTCACATGCCACTGCCCCCACCATGTTCCAGCACCCCCTCTTCCACCTAAACTAGAGCAGGGGCCTCTTTACGGGCTCCCTGCCCTGCGTCACTCTAGTCTCTGCCCAGACTCCCCTGAACACCAGTGCTGGCCACTCTCTTGTGCTCAGAACCCCATCATGGCTCCTTCTGCAGAGTAACTTCCAGAGTCCTCACTGTGGCCCAAGATCCTGCGTGACTCTTTTCCCTCAGAAACATACTCTCCCCCTTATTCCCTCCCAACCAACTGCATGAATCTCTTTGTCGTTCCCTAAAATGCTAAGCACACTGCCACCTCAGGGCCTCAGGGCCTGGCACTGGCTATTCCCTCAACTTGGGAGTATTCTTCCCTCAGATGTTCCAAATTCCACTCCTTCATTTCTGCTCAAATGTTATCTTTTTCTTCTTGAGATTTATTTCTTTATGTATGCATACAAGAGCTGGGGTACAGGCCAGAGGTGCAGGGGGCAGGAGGATTCCCCAGAGACCGAGTGGGGAGCAGGACAGGCAGAAGGACCGAAATACAGGGCCGAGGGGAGCGGTGGGCAGGTCAGGAGAGGTCTGCTGCGCCCTGTGGGTCAGCTCCCTGGCCAGGGATTGAACTCACGCTGCAGTGGCTGTGATAGCTTCATAGAGCTGCGACTTAACCCCGTGCCACCAGGGAGCACCTCGCGTCATCTTGAGAGACTTCGCTTCCCACCTGACATTTAATGACGAGTACCAGCTCCCTGGCCCCCTCCTCACTGCCTTGCTCTTCTGGTCATCCTCCAACACATCTCCTCACCTGTCAGTACTCACTAGCAGGCTCCCTGCTGGCTTGGTCAGCCCATGAGGGCTGAGCCCTTGTTCACTGCTGTGCTGCCAGCACCTACAGAGCACTGGACCCCTGCGGCTGGAGAAAATGAGTGACCACAAGTGGGAGACCCTGGCTAAAAAACAAAAGGAAATGATTTTAAAGGTAAAGGAAGGAGGAGGTGAGTAGTAGAGTCGGGCTGTGTCAGAATCTGGGCTCACCTGTCAATGAGCCCCAGCTTCTTAGGCAAGCGGTAAAGCTTCTCTAACTGAAAATGGCAGAATAAGCCTGCGCCTGCAGTGGGACTATTCGAGATTAAACGGCTCCTGCTGAGCAGCTGGCAGTGTGCACCGCGCGGAAGCTGGGTGCCATCTCCCACCCCCTTCCTGAAATCCTCAGCGTGGGGCAGGATCCAGGTTGCTAGCCCCGCCGGCCAGGCTTGCTGTCTAACTTATTGGAGCCTCTTCCGTTCCGGGGCATGGACACAGCTGAGCCGCTGGCGTGGGGGTGGCAGGCACACACGCCACAGGACACAGGACACGGCTGTCCGCTCGGCGGCGACAGGATGGGGGCACGAGACTCCCCATCTTAGACAGAAGGTGCACCCCAGTGCTAAGGCCTCGTGTGGGCCACCCGTGACACGGGGATGGATAGCCAGAGACCTCACCAAAAGGACCAAGTGGAAGAGCAGAGACTACCTTCAGTCCTCCCTACCGGCACAGGGAGACTCTTCCAGCAGCCCACGGACAACTTGAGGCGGATGTTTTGCTGTGGGTCAGCTCCCCAGTTGGAGTTCCTGCAGCGAACGGCCATTTTGAACATACCCCCCACCCTTCCTGGGAGGCAGAAGAGCCTGCTGGCCAGGCACACTTGAGACACCTGGGTTCTGACGGCTTCTCTGCTCCACAGCTAGATGACATCATGAATTTTGGTTTTCTCATGTGCAAACCAGGGATTACATGGCAGCTACCTCATACAGTTGTTGGAAAGATCAAATGAAACCACAATTCTGTCTTCGTAGAGATCAAATAAGCCACAGCGCTCAGGTGCCAAGCACACTGCCAGGAGCAAGGGACCCAGGAGCGGCTCACAGGCCTGGCAGGGAGGTTATGTCCTGCTCTTAGTTCCTCCAGGTAAGACTCGTGGGTGGGCAGAGTAATCCCACAAAAGCTCTTCAGTGGTCCAGAAAGTCTGAAAATGTTGATATTCACAGACCAGCCAGAGACCCATCCCTCCCTGCGCTCAGCTCACCACCATATTCTTGGTTAAACATAGATGGAGCTGGGTTTACGTTAGTTCTTTAAACATTCCCGTGAGACTCCTCTCTTGCTGAGGCAGGTGGGACTGACCAAGGGGCTAGAGATCTCCCGCTCCCTCCCCTCAGGGCCCTCATTCGCCCAAGGTACAGGCAGATAACAAGGCCTGAACCCCCGGCTGGGGCCCGGCGAGTCCACTCGAAGTAGAGAAAGTGCATTGCACTGGGGCCTCATCTCAGTCACTGTGCTGCTTTAACTCGTAAGCAGAGATCTGAATAAGGCCCGAGTCAGACCACAGCGGCCGGGCTCCCTTCCTGCGGCCACTGAGAGGTAGGCCCACTGCCCTCATCACCCCTTCCTTTGGTCCCTTCTGGGCACCAGGTTTCTGTCCGAGCACCCCCGACCCCTGCCCAGGTGGGGGCAGAGAGGAGCCCACCCAGGTAACAGCTCGGAAGGGCATCAAGAGGGCATCTGCCCGGTACCCGGCGCTCGCGTGGTGGTCCAGAGCAGACATCTCACCTGCATGCAGGGAACACTGGGACACCAGGTCTCCCCCACACGCTTTATTGTTGGTTCATTCACTCCCCTCTTCAGACTGCTCTGTCCCCTGGAGAGGAAAAGATGCAGGCAGGGCCCAGCTACCCACGGTCCAAAGAGGCAGCCAGGATCGTTTTGGGAAAGGTGAGCCCCAAGTTCAAGATGATTAGAACGGGGGGAGGGGTGCTCAAAGGGTAGAGCAGCTCAGAATCCATGGTGGTGGCTGGGGTGGGGAGCAGACCCCAGGGAGAGCCCCGAAGTCTTCAAGGCAGCGTCAACCCGACAGAGCCTTAGGCTGAGGCACCCCCTCCTACCCCGTGCCCTACCCCACAGGGCAGAGGCAGCACCTTTGTCTCCTAGCTGCCCCGCTCTGGACCAGGTGACCCTGGCAGGGGTCGGCTGGCACCATCTGGACTTTGCCTCTCCAGCCTCGTGGAGGCAGCGGCAGCTCCCCACTCTTCTTGTCCTGTCCCCCTCAGTCACCTCTCTCCCCTATAGCCAGTCTCCTGCACTCAGTCCCTCCTGCAGAAACACACAGTGGTTTCTGCTGGCCTGGCCCGACACGAAAGGAGAGAAGTCTAAAGGACATTTATCTAAAACTGGACTCCCGATCGGTCCCCCAGGCCCCAGCCAGCCTTATCTCGAATGACCCTGCCATGCACCCACCGCTGGGGCCACAAAGTTGGGGTCTTCCAAGATCCCTCCCCTCTCACCCTGACATCCACACCATGGTTACATCCTTCCACACACATCTGTCCCTGAGCCCTCACCCTTATCCAACCCATCATCTCTGGTGCCTCTGCCACCCCACAGCAGTCTTAAACAGGCCCATCACACCCTGTCATTCTCCCTCATAAAACTGCCTCACGGTATCCCATTGCCTGAGGAAAAAATACCCAAAACCCTGGTAATCTGGCCTCCGTCTGACCTCAACCTCATCTCCTCTGGGCCACACTGGCGGCTTCCTCACCCTTCCATTAAAACAAGCTGGTTCCCACCTCAGGGCCTCTGGCCCTGCAGTTCCCTCTGCCTGAAACCTACTTCCTGCAGCTCTTCCTACAGCCAGGTTCTCCCACTGCTCAGCCCAGCTTCTCTGAATGTCCCACCGGCCTCACCCTGCCGTCCCTCACAGCCACATGCAGTCGACACCTCTCGGCACTACTCCACCAGGATCTTGTGTGTGTGTGTGTGTGTGTGTGTGTGTGTGTGTGTGTGTGTGTACACTGATTATCTCCCTTCACTA